TTAGGGTCTAGGATTCCCTTAACGGGTACCCCTTCTGAACCCTACTTTTTGGCTCTCTTTAAAAGGGACCTTACTGAGAGGGTCTATATCCCAAAGGGCCCCCCTAATCCTAGCTCCCGAACCAGAAGCGCCCGTGGCACTTGGACTTCAGGCATCTGTTTAAGGTTTAGCGTCTCGCACGGCAGGGCTCCTCATTTTTAGGGTTTTAGGGTTTAGGGCACAGATGGTTCAAGGATTTGCATGATATAGGGCAAGAGGCCAACGGTGGCTGCTGCCTTGATTTGCTTTGTTGTTACGGGCCACTATCATGGTCACATGCAAGGGTCACTGTAAGTCAACAAGGGTTAGTAGACGGTACGAACGGCCTTGAGAATATTCTAAAAAACTGGGCAATACAAGGAGCTCGAGGTTTCAGAGTTCAGACAGCGACTGCTTTTCTCTAACAGGTCCCATGCGGCACAAGTTGCGCAAGCCAGCGAGGGCAGCCAGTACAATCCAGTAGTGACCAATGTCACCTCGTGGCTAGCGGAGAGATGGTTTCGGCGCTCACACAGGGACAATCCAGGCGAAGGCACAGGTATTGGTCGAATGTGGAAGGACATTCGTGTACTACTGTTTTGGCAGTTCTACAGGAGTCCTGACCTGCTTTCGGTCAGACTCTCGGAGGACCCCGAAGCCCTCAAACAACAAAAGGTCGCTGAGAAGAGCAAAGCCACGCTATGCTGACGATGGCCTCACCACCGACTGTAAATGGTCCCTTGACTAGGATCGAAGGTCCTCGCAAGATATGTTCGGTAAGGTGTCTAAGCTGATCGTTTGGAAGAGTCCAAGTGGCATTGGTCCCGCCGACACGGAAGCCACGATCTGGAATGATCGCACGGACCTGAGCCAAAGCGAGAATCCTAACCTCACGCATTAACGCCCCACATGCTTCAACAACAGGTGGTATGTATATATATATATATGTATATATATATATATATATATTGATTGAGGCGCTCCGCGGCTCCCCCCCCCCCCAAT